TCCCCATCTGGGCAGTGCTTGGAGAAGATGTCAAATGCTCCAGAAAACTGTAACTGCACTACAACAGTTATGTTTCTGCTTTACAAATTCTATCCTGATGATGACTCCTTTGTGCTCAGCTTCTCATTCAACTGCTTTTCATCTAGAAGAAAAAATTTATTAGTTAGCACTCTAAAATATTCAATTTATTGACAGAAATACTGTGTGTTTGGCATATGTTAAAAAAGCATACATGAAATGGTATTTCTAATTATGATAAGGCAGGGCGCTATCAATACAGTCACAATTTTAAGCAACAGCTAAACTCCAGCAAGCCTTTGCACAAAGTATAAATCTCAATACTTCTTGAAACTAGTTTGTGTTAAATTCCTAGTACTCCATTCAATGCCACCTGTTTTGGTGAAAGCCTTCTATACAACCATTACTAGCTCATTTTTATTAATGCATTTCAAAACGTGACCTCACATGTTACTAAACACTGCACTACTGGCTAAGCAAAGTTGATATTTCTGTTGGAAATGTGGTGAGGTGGCAGGCAGGCTGGACAGCAGGGTATTTCATAATAAAAAGTATATTAATAAAGTATCACAGACTATGAACACCTGACTGACCTCACAAAAATTCCAGTTACCTACAACACATTTCTAAATAGACAAATTTATTCGGAGTAATCACACTATTTCAAACTAACCTTGTGAATTCTTAAAATTTAATGTCAAATTACTCCACTGTTAATGTACCTTAAAGCTTTTTTTTTTTAATAACTGCACATTGCTTCAGAAAGTCAGATGAGCACCTTTCCTCCTTCTTACAGGATGTTTATACAACTAAAGGAAGCACATTTCCTTTGCTTTTGTGTCTCATCTTCCATAAGGAATAACCAAACAAATTATTGATCGTCCTACACTTCCACAGCAGGGTTCAGGTATTCAGAGTAGGTTATTTATGGTAGTACATGTAGTAGCAGAATGGACAAAATATTGTTGCTAAACTACATGAACACTTACCTTTCAATTTATGTGTAACGTCTATTGGGAGGTCATGCACCATTGATACCATTTCTTTCAGATGTTCACTGGACATCAGCAAAGATGGCAAACAGTATCTACTGTAAGAGACTGGTGATGGTGTCTTGGTAAATTCTTCATCCAAGCAGAAGAGTTCTGGAGGACTGCACAATACATCTCTTCCTCTTTTTTCTAGCATAAGACTTAGGTCTGACCTACAACTTACAGGTTCACCTTCATTATGTGTTTGATGCAGCTCCTCTTCACTTTTAGATGCAGGCTCTGGCTTTGATTTTTTAATATCCCCCTTATAATCAGAACCACCTGTTACATTTGTGCTGTCTACTACATAAAAAGAAGACTCTGAGGTTGTAGATTTGTCAGTATCTAAGTCATCAAGTTCCTCTGGAAGCGTCTGTGTCTTCAGGTGGCCAGCTTCACAACTGCAAGGATTTGACAATGAAGATACATTCCAGGGCAGCACCTGATCCCCTAATGAACCCCAAAAGTGGTCTGACAGAACATTTGTTCTACTATTGTTTTCTGAACAAGCATCCGGAGTATTCATGCTCTTTATATATTGAGAAGCCTGTTCTTCCAGATCTTCTACAAAACTTTTGTTCAGATGAATACATTCTAATTCCTGTTCTTCACTCAAGAGAGTTCTCTCTCTCTCTTGCATTCCAGATGTTTCCAAAATCGAAGATTCAATTATATGGCTTATCCTCATATGCTCTTGAGATCTAAATTCTGTAGACCTTAACTGAGACTTGCTTTCTGACACAGAAGGAGCCAAATCAGGTAAAGGAGATGCAAGGGTGGACGACATGAGTCTAGAGTCTGCCACCTTCTGCATTACAGGTCTATCATCCGTTGGAGCTTCTTCTAACATTACTTCAGCTGGGGCTAGCTCTAGGTCTGGTAAGCCCTCGGTCTGAGCAGCTTTTCTCCATGAGCTTCTGATTTCAGCAACTGAATGGAACAAAACAACGTAAAAATTCTAGTACTTTCATACTCTAATCTGTTTTTCTTCTGTTCCTTCAGTAACATAAGCAATCCAAGAAAGAAGATGTATAGCTGCTTTGTATTATTTATGCTTAGCTTTCTTCCTCAACACAAAGGGGATTCTACACAGGGAAAAATCTACATCAAAACAAATTTGCAATATTCACATCTAATTAGGCCTACATCTCATTAGGCCTACTAAGCTATGTTACAAAGGAAGCCATTAGGATAACTTGCAGCTTCACTGAAATAATTATCTTCTTGTCTGTTATGTACATTGTGAATTATCTAATCACATTTCTAATCAATGAGTATTCTAAAAAGAGCATTTTATACTTACACAGATTTTCTGAAGTTTGGGGAATTTCTTTCCTTGTTTTAAGTGGGTTAGAAGTCAGTGAACTAATGGTATCTTCTAATGGCATTCTTTCTCCTTCAGGACTCAGGGACAACTCAGACATCACTCTTCTTGCAACCTGTATGATGTTAGAGAAAGGCAAATCCTGAGAAAGCAGAATTATAACCTCTTTATTTCTGTTGCTTATGGCTCAAAACAAATCCCCTTCTCCAAATGATCTGAAGCGTTTGGAATCTCCCGACTATTCTGTTATTTACTACTTAGGCTCACAGTGACCACAGTGTCTTATAAACACAACACGAAGATAAAAATGAATTCTGATTTTAGTCCCCTAAGTTCCCTCATCATCTACAAATCCATCTTTAAAATAAGAAAATGTGCTCAGACAGAATATATTTTAGACACTAGTCAAGAACTGCATAAGCATGAAGACTAGAGCTATATTTATGTAAGTAAAACATATTAGCAGGCGAAAAATAACCATACTATTTCAGCGAAAGATGCAATTTACTTTCCAAATCAAGTTGTGGCACATTTTACAGTAACCCTAGTGAAGGGGTTCCTCAGTTAAATCTTAAATAAAATACCTAAAATAGGAAATACTTAAACTCCTGCTTAAAATTCCTAAGTCCCTGTGTAACTTTTGAAACAAAAAAGGACTGCTGAATTCCTAATATATGCAGTAGTTCATAGATTAAAGTATGAGAGATGACAACCATACCATGCTTCTATTGAAAGGGTTATTTTTTTTTAAAAAAAAAAAAAAGCACTTTTTCTAACCTCTTCTGCCATTTCGTCTATGGTTTTCTTAAGAAGGTCTTCTTTTTTGACAGGAGACTCTGTCTGAATAACATGATCACCTGCATTGTCCCATACTTCTAAAATAGTGGACTCATCCTTTCTGTTTTTTAAGATATTTGGAGGCACAGGCGTTTTTTCCTCCTTGAAAATTTTAGTATGCAAGTGGTAGAGGAACACACAGGAATTAGAAGTTTGAGACTGAAGTGTTTGAATATTAGGATGAAGAAACGGTTGTAAAAATTCTGAACAGCAATGGCCTTAGTGTTTAGTCAATAAAAATATTTCAGTCTTAAATTCTAACTAAATACAAAACGTTTGCAATCATATTTACAGTGGGACGTAATTAGTGGCTGAGATAAGGTGTTGCATGCAACACAGACAACTCATCTGCCACTAACAACTGCAACAGACAACAGTACATCCAAGTGGCTGTGACGCCACATTATAACCCTTAAGTTCTCACACAATGTAAAGAAACATCAAAGTCTGACAACTGCTCACAACAAAAAGACTGTCAGCAAGCAGGGAATCAGTGACATGCTGTACATTGTACTGGAAGTCAGATGCAAGTACATCTACCTCCTACTGCTCCTTTCTAAAGCTTAATGAAGTCCCTGGCACTTAGCTTTTACAGTTTTGCAGAACTAATTCTGATGTGTAAAAATACTACTCTACAACCAAAACAAACAAACAAAAAACCTGAAGAAACAAAACTAAACAAAAACCCACAACCCTTCACCCATATACTAAGTCTGCACTTCAATCAATGCAGAAAGGAAACAGAAGTTTAACTTCCCTGACAGGTAAGAAATGACTGAAGAATAACCTTTTTGATTAACACGTCTCTGCTTTCAGATGCTTCTGACAACTTCAAAGATGTTGGATAGCTCCTTGGGAGAGGAGTGGGAAAAAAAAAGAGGGTTTAGAGAAATATTATGGAAGAGGCATACAAATCTTAGTAAAGGCCAGTACATATTGTGTGCCCCGTATCTGTCCGTTACGATTTCCCTCAATTCGTCCCGGTCATCAGAAGGCAATTTTACTATAGGGAGAACATGTGACAATTAGAGCAGATTTTGCCCTAGTTGTGTATCAGCCTCCCAAAATTAATAACTTATGAAACTTTCCCTTGATTACCAAACAGGAAAAGAAGGGATTTTGTGATACATTCTATAAACAAGTCTTCTGTGTTCTGCAATCAAAGCTAACTGAAAAGTCTTCTGCAGATGCGATGTTGTTTTCCCTAGCTATGCTTCCTCTCAATCACCTCTGGTATCCAAAGGTCTGCTCCCATACGGACTACTGATATTTAACAAATCACCTGGTGACCAAAAACTTTGGTCTTATCACTTACGATAAGCACACTGCTAACTGCATAGCTCTCTAAAATCTAAGGTACAGTGGTCACTTGTTAGGAAGAATACACCTTAAAATGTTAATATTTGCTGTTATTTGCCTTTAGAATCAGATGAAAATCCATGTGGTATGAAGTCACTGAAAGAAATCCAGGCTTTAATTGTTAACTTCTTGAACAACCTTTGCAACTTCTATACTTAGACATCAGTAGATGTAGTTACATATGACAGCCTTCCTTTGCTGACTCTCTTTCACTCCTAATAGGCAACTTTCAAGTATCTGTAGGAGTCATATTATGGAACAGTGTTACTCAAAAGGTCATGAAACCTTCCTAGACTAACTAAATGACAAACAGGCCAAAACCTTTTAGAATACTATTGTTTTGTGTTCTATCCTTTACTGAAACTATAGTAATAGAATTTACAGAACAAAATTATGTTAGAAGACTGATGAGAAAAGCCTTTTTCACAAGGTTTAGAACAGTAATTCTGCTTCGGAGTCAGGGTATTTTGGGTTGGTTCGGTTTTAGTTGTGGCTTTTTTTTTTTAACACAAAAGAAAGGCTCCTGTGAATATCTGTTCTTTTATTCTCAGGCTGTACTGAACATATATGCCTACCTCAGCCCAGCTTGAGGAACAGAATTCTCTGTTTTCTCCAGCCACCTCTTAAAACTTGAAAGAATGTAGTTTAAAAGCGAGATTAAAAAATCTTCCAACTTCGCTGCTGCATAGCCTAGTAACATTGCCCCTGCTTACGCCAGGGGGCTTGGAACAGATGATCTTTAAAGGTCCCTTCCAACCCAATACATTCTATGATTCTACATCCTATCTAGCAGCACACAGTTAATAATTGGTCACCAGCTGAGCTGGAGGAAAGCAGCAGTTACTTTAGGACTGTTTCAATAAATCAGGTGGATGTGACATGTAAGAAGCAGGCTACTGAAATATTCCACTAAGGATCAAGAGATGGAATACAGTCAACTACAAGAAGTGAATTTCTTTCTTTCCACTGCTTTTTTATCAATTTCTCATTAACATCATACCACCATCGTCGTCGTGCTGACTCAGTCATCATGGTTTCCAATGTCCCATCATCTCTCTCACAATATTCTTCGCTAATAAAATCACAAACATCTAGAAAAGCAAGTCAAGAATTATTATTGCTTCAATTTTTTTTTGGCTCAGGCTTCCCAGGTGGCAGAAGTGACTCAAACCACTTCTGCAGACTATTCACAGGATAGACTTTATGAACATTTAGACAGACTAAAACATAAGCAGGACAGTTAAATTCTTTTGGTCAGGTACAACCTGCAGCCACAGATGCCACAAGCAACCAGCATCTCTTTGTGTTGTTCCTGAACACATGTTGAGAAGCATGATTCTATCTTCTGCCTTGCATGTATCAATCATATATTTTACCTTCCTCCAAATTATAATCCTAGCCACATGGCATCATTATGCCCTCCTCTCCACATACACATCAATTGTGTGGCACACCAATTCCACAAAGCAAAATTCCACTCACATTTTCCCCAACACCTCCACTTCTGTTTATCAATAAGTATCTCCGTGGACATACTCACACCTCTGATTAACACTGCCTCAGTCCAAGTAAGGCAAGGCCCACTATAAGAAAATGTTTGCACATTATCAGAGGTACATATAACCTCAGCTCAGAACTCTCTACAACAATACATATCTACTTCGGGCCATCATTTGGATAAACAGACAAAGTTTAACCTCAGTAGTTCTCTACTAACCCTAAATATAATAGTACTGAAATAAGTACTTCAGAATGCACCAGAGATACTTGGGAGGACACTTTCAATTTTTTTTCCCTGGCTGGCCAATGAGAAGTTTCATCTTCTTTCTCTCTTTTACTACTCCTTCAATCAGAAGCAACTTTAACTATTAGAGTGAACATATTCTCTAGAACCCATGAAGGAACCTTTGTACATGGAAACCTGTCTCAATATGCTCTATGCAAGAACAAAAAAATACCAAACAGCTCCAGCACTGTTTGGTTGGTTTGTTGGGTTTTTTTTGTTTGTTTGGTGGCTGTTTTTTTTGCAACGTCAAAAGCTTCAGAGAATCTCTGAGATATGACAAAGTTGAAAAATATAAGGCAATTGTAGCAAGGAGTCATTCAGAACCAGATTATCAGAGATTATGAAAGACACTTGCAAATGCAAGGAGGAAGTCTTTTTGATTCCACATAACTTTTAAAAATTGTGGCAGTGGCAGAAGGGGGGAAGGCAGGGAGAGAAGGAAAAGAAGCTACTCCTGTTCACCCACCTGGAACTATTAGATGTTGGCAAAAAACACTATCCAGATCTTCTTCAGAACTAGAAGAACTGGGTGGTGAAGCTCTTAACAAACCAAGTTCCTTTCAGAAGAAAAAAGAAAGTTAAACAAACAGGCTGAAAAAATCTGCATACCAACAGCAATTAACAGACAATTATTTTCTACAGCTTTTCTGTAATCCAGCTGCCAAACTCAACATTAAAATTCTCTCTTTGCCGTGTAGCTAGGCAATTGTATAACCTCAGATCCCTGTACTGATGTGTCGAAATGGAAACTCTTGTTCATTCATTAAGCAGATCACTTTAAATGGGAAAAACAGAACTCGGCAGATGTTAGCACTGACAGCACATGAAAGTTCAATTTCTATCAGGAGATGGGCATGGACAAAACCAAAGCCAATCAGCTTGCTCTCATGATGATCTACTGTCTTTACAAGATGGTTTGATCCCCCATTTCAAATGAAGACACCAGCTGTCATCAAGTCAAATGTACGTACTTTAAGAGAGACTACTTCCTAAAGCAATTTCTGCCATATCGTGCCGTTTTCCTAACCTTAAATATAAAGCTTTAAGTGTTGCAATAGAACACACCAGTTTAGACCTACACTCTCTCTCATCTTCATCCTTTCTTTTCTGTAGAATCAGATAAACAGAACACTACTTACTGTATTCTGATCTAACATTAAATGAAAAGGACACAGGCCAAGAAAGCTTTTCCACCGCACTTTCCAGTCTTTCTGTTTTCTAGAAATAGATCCACTCATTGACACACAATGCTCTTGCTCTCTTTTTAGCCTGTAACAGATGAACACAGAAAAGCAACATGAAACATCTGTTGATGGAGATAACTCTGCATAAAGATGGAGACTATTATGTGTCCCCCGATCCTGCAAAATCTTTGCTATATATCAGCTTATTCATGCATTTGTGCATACACTGAGAACTAACTGAAATTCACAAACTAAAAAGTAACTGCTAGGTAGTCTTCATGTTTCTTACAGTTCTTCGAATTCTACTATATTAAAATACATACATAAACTTGAGATTTCCCTAAGCCAGTTTCAGATAATTTTTTTTAAATACCAGAACAGATTAGTGAGAAAAAGAAAAAAACACCACCACCCAAACTCAGACCAGCTAGCAGACAAGGTCCCCCAGGTACAAAACCTAAAATATTAATGAAGTAAGGGTAAAAAGCTGAAGTTACCTAAAGAAGAATCTCAGTTAAAAGTTATATAGATAATTAAGACAAATGTGAATTTCCCAAACGCAAAGGAAAAAGACTGAACAAACATGTTCTCACTATAAATTTTACTATTTTAGAAAAGACTCCAAGATAGGAAGACATGAAATCTTTAGACTAAAGAACAAGGAACCAGAGAAAATTTCCAAACAATTACCTATGCGCTTCCAAACTCTGTACTGCTTTACTGCGGAATGCATTCTTATCCTCAATGAGCTGAAAATGTTGTTTTAATTCAGATTTACAACGTTCATCTCTCAATGTCCTCAGCGCTTCATTTAATAACTGAATGACGGTTAAGAAATTCAGTTTTCCAGCTACATATACCTGTCCTGTACAAAGCTTGAAGTATAGCAAGCAAGAAAAAAAAAAGAATTAGCAAACAGCCATCAACTTCACAAAGCTATGCCTCCTGTAGTCAGAGCAGGGATACAAAGTTCCACTTTGTATTTTGATTCAACTCCTGATTGTTTCATTTTTCAAAAAATGCACTCTAAATTTAAACCTCAGGTTTGTTTTCTAGAATCATCTGCTTGAAAGCAGCCTATAAAGCAATACAAACTAAGAAACCTTCAACTAATGAGGTGTTCTGTTTAAGCGCTGCCCCAAAAAGACGTGTCAGGCCTGAACAGCACTATGTACTACACACTGGAAACAAAAAACCATTAGTTGAAGCAATACTTAAACTGGTCAACCCAATATTAATGTCTAAACAACAAAAAATATCAAGTATTAATCAGGCAGAATTATCAATGCAGTTATTGAACTTGAAAACCCAATGCTTGAAACAACCAATAAAAAACAGTAGCATAATCATAACAAGCTTTTACATATAAATTAGACATATTTTCCTTTATCCTTGAGCAATCATCTAATCTGTGAATTTTGTTAGGTTTTTTTTAAAGGTATCTAATTATACCCCTGGAGACTAAAAAAAAAAAAAAAAACTAAACAGTTTAACAAGGACAAAAATTACTTACTTGGTGTATGTCACTTTCAACTTTGCGAACCAACAGCTCTGGAACTCTGAAAACATTAGATCCATCTAAAATGCACTGATCAACACAGCCTTCAAGTACGCATAGTTCTGAATCCACAATGTCTTTTTCCTTTTTCAGAGATGTAAATATTTCCATTATATGTGTCCACATACTGCGGACCTTAGTAGGCAAGTAAGACAAAAATACTGCATCAGTATGTTTGCAACCTATAATGACAGGCTATCAAAACAGCATAAAGGCAGATGAAGGGGCTAGCCTAATCAGAGGCAGACAAACGGAAATAACAGTATTTGGAAGTAAGTGTTGCAGAAAAATAAGAAGATATATGGCATACTGTGACAGCAGAAAAAAAAAGTCCTCACCTTTTGAATTCTCTCAGTTTTGTCATTTTTGTTTCGGTCATTTTGTTTAATCCTAGACACATGCAAAACAAAAGTTCAAGTGGACTGCAATGAAGTTATAGATCGTATTTCATCAAATTGAGTAAGAAATCTATTTTATATATGCTAACTTAGTTACAAGGAAAAACACTTACCTGCAAGACCGTATCTGCAGGACTTCATATTCAGACTTTATCTGTCTTATTTCTTCAATTAAAAGCCTAGGAAAAAAGAGTTAACAGTTATCATAGACTTTATTAAAAAAAGAAAAGCTTCTACTCTGCTGTTCTCAGAATCCCTTAAAACCACTAATAGATCTTGCTCATTCCTTCCAAACCTGCATACTGAGGCAGTTTCAGAACAACGCAAACTAAAAAACTTTATCCTTGATTTCCTCACCATGACTTTGTACAGAAAGGCAGGTAGGTATGCCACTAAGATATTTCTTAATTAAGCTGGTGCTTATTCTGTTGCAATGGAGCAACTTTTATTAGACCCAAGAACAATAATGAAATAACTGGAAATTTACTTTAACGATATAAACCTTCAAATACATTCAGCAATTGTACAGCACCCAAATCCCTCCGTTTCAAAAAACTAGAGAACAGAATACTGGAGTACAACCAGCTAGACTACCAAATTTCTTTTGCCAAAGCTAAAGTGCTTTTATTAAATTTTTAAGCACGCAAAAACCCAGTGGCCTGATTTTCAGAAAGACTAGGTGCCTGAAATATGTGCAGTTCTAAAGGATCTTCAGAGTTCTGATGCCTTGTTGAAAATGAAAAAAAACTATAGAGAATTCCGTTTTTGAAGGGTACCACTCACAAGGTAAGCAAGAACACCAAGCAGGGTGAGAGGAGACGCAGAATTATGTAAATCAGAAAAGCTTAGGAGTCTTTAACCTCTAGAAATTATATTGCTGAGACTCCTATTGAAAGTAGAGCCTTCAATTATGTTACTCATGGTCCTGCCATGCCAAATCTTAAATGCCTCCCACAAGGGAGATCCCACCACTTTTCAGGGCAACCTGTTCCAGTGATTAATTGTTCTCACATGAGGTGGTTTTAATTTTTTTTTCCTATCCAGATGGAGTCTTCCCTCAAGCACCTTTGGCCTACTGCTCTTGTCGTGTTACCATATATCCTTGTGAATAGCGTACGTTCACCCTCTCTACAACTACCTTTTAGATATTGGAAGACTGCAATTAAACCTCCCAGCTTTTGACTTCCTCAAGCTAAACAAACCAAATTTTTACAGCTTTTACTCATACATGTCAAGTTCTCCAATCCTCTAGCCATTGCAGTCCTCTGCTAGAATGTCTCAAATCTTTCACTCTCTCTTCAACTGGGGGAATAAAAACTGAACACAGTATTCCAGGTATGGCCTTAGAATTGCCAGGTAAAGTGAAATACATCTCTAGATATGCTGGCTGTACTCCTTTTCATACAGCCTAGGAGGCTGCTGGTCTTCTTGGCAATCAGGGCACACTGCTGACTTGTGGTCAGCTTATGGTCCAACACTACTCTCACCTCCTCCAATTCTTCTTAGCAGAGCTGCTCCCCGGCCAATCACCTGCAAGCTGATCACCTGCAAGCCTGTGCTGCTGTTGGGGATTATTCCATCCCAGGTGCAGGACTTCACACTGAACTTTGACAAACCTCACTCAATTCTTGTTGGGCAAGGCTCCAAACCCAGTAAGGTCTCTCTATGTAATAGCTCTTCATTCCAGTATATCTACTTTTCCTCATAGTTTGGCATCTCCTTCAAGTCTGGTACGTTTGCATTCAGTCCTGTCAACTATATCCCTTATGAAGGCAAGAAGTAATGTAAGACCTAGTATTAACCCCAGAGGAATTCCACTCATGATCAGCTACCAGTCAGACTTTGAGGCACTACCATCTTTGGTACCTCCCCCCTAGCTAGCCTTCTATCTTTCCAAACATGACAAAGCAGTTCTGAAATGATGCCAGGTTAAGTATCTCTGCACACTTGGATGCATCCCATCAGGTAGTAAAGGTTTATGTATGTCCAGTTTGTACACATGAACCTCTGCTTTACCCTCTTCTGCTATCAGTGCTATGTTCTTTCTTTCTAACCTTACCCATGAAGCCTGAGGCAAAGGCAGCATTAGGTAATTCAGCCTGTGACACTTATAACTTAACACACCATTTCACTCAGAAGCAGACCTAAATCGTTCGTGTACTTCCACTTCCAAATAACATCCCTACAGAAGTCCTTTTACAGGCTCCTACCAGGCTCTTAAGATTAACCAAGATTAACCTGAACTTTAGCCTTCATAAGTACATCACTGCACAACTACGAAATATTTCTGTATTTACATCTAAGAGTCAGTCCCCTTTTTCATATTCCATATGCTGCTGCTTTGGTTTCTGAGCTCTATCACTAGCTCACTGTTTTAACCAAGTTGGTTTCTTGTTATGCCTGCTTCTTTTTCAACTAAAGGGGATGGACCACACTTGAACCTCAGTAAGGATCTCTGAAAATATCCTAGTACTCCTGAACCCTTCTGCTTTCCACAAGATACCTCCCAGCAGTTCCCTGGGCAATTGAAAATCTGCTCTTTTAAGTGCAACGTCATTATTCTTGCACTTGTCTTCCTCTCCTTCCTTCGGATTTTAACTCTATAGTCTTGGCTGCAGCAACCACAAGGTTCCTGTTGGCAGTTATGTCTCCAGAAAAGTTTTTCTTACATCTAAGCAGTGAGTTAAAATAAAAAACACAAAAAAAAAACCAACAAAAAAACCCCACCACCACAAAAAACACCAGAGTGATGCTAGACCTTCTGATCTTGATCCAAAGGCATGCAACAGACTGGTCTTCTTGTATGGAAATATGCTACATGCACTGAGGCTGCTCTTCTACCTACAGTACAACTCCTACTCCTTTTCTGGCAAAAAGTGCTGTTCTACCAAACAGCTTGCAACTCTCCTTGCCAGTGCTCCAGCCATGTAAATTATCCCACCCAAATTCTGTAGATTCCAATTATATATAACTCTGTGCCTTTACAGAAAGTTCCAGCTATTCTTGTTTCTCAAACTGGCAATGTTTTCCATATGCAAGAATAAAGAGTAGCACAATTTTTGTGAAACAACTAAGGACTGTATAAATAAAATGCATCCCATGGTGACCAAGCAAAGACCACATGTTTCATCCTGAGACAGTTGTATTTTAAGATATGATCCTTCAAATGTTAAGAAATCATGGAGCTATACATGCAGAATTACCTGATAATTTTTAATGCCTGAATAACTACATCTTCCGAAATACAGCATCTCCTAACTGAAGGACTGATTTCTTTAGGCTACTATGATTCACAAGACCCTACAAACAGTACAACTGTCAATTAAAGTAGATAATGGGGGGAAAAAAAGGGAGAAGCTCAACAGAACTCGTGATTATAAAGCAGATGCAGCATCCTAAAATCCTTTTAAACAGACAGACACAGACAAAAGTCGACTCTTATGAAAAGATTCAGTTTCTTTAAATGGATTACTTACTGGGATTTATTATTGTATTCTTGAATAATGAAATCTTCCCTTTGAAAAATCTGCAGAACTTTATTGCATGCAACTCTCCATCTTGCATTTGCCATGCATGAACTCCTAGGTTTCAACATTACAGCTTCAGCAAAAGGTATATTAGTGCCTAAACAAAAGTTAATGTTTGGATTACATCATTCACTTTTAGCAAATAGACAACTTCCTACTCTACCTAGTTTGAACTGAAATAATCACAAATCAAGATGCCCATTTTATTGAAATAAGAGTACACTGTCTACTGTCTTTTTTGCTAGTTCTTTCTGCTGTATACATTTTTACTGCCTCACTCCCACTCCCTTTCCCTATTCTTCAGCTGTCCAAAACAACACAGAATGTCTAGAATAAACAGTTCCTACCCTTCAGAATTCCTCAAGCTGTGAGAAAATAATATAATATAGTGATCCAATACTTTTAGACCACACCATTGCTTGTGTGGATATCAGTGTACAGCATTACACAGATGAATCTTGGAGCAAGACCCATAAAGCAATAGAAAGCAAAACAATCTGCATTGTTCTATCAGCAGTAGCTCTGTGCAAGTGCAGAGAATCCGGTGAAAGATTTTAAGCCGAGCAGCCAACTCAGATCTACTTTAAGCTCTTGGCACGTATTAAAGACTTGACAGATTCACTATAAACCATGGCAAATAAAGTATTTTTATCATTCCATTACGGCTTACCTTTGGAGTTCTTTCTCATGTCCTCAATTAGTACATGTCTTGCAAACCAATACATTAGGTGAATAAGTTTAGGACCAGGAGGAGAAATTAATAAGGAAGATGTAAAATATGGAGAAGACCTTTTATCTTCATTCTAGAAAGGTTAGATTAGTTTTGTGTTTAAAACCAATTTAAGAAATAAAGTCTAAACAACAGTCAAACATTTAGCTGAATACCAAAACACCGCAGCCCACTCGCTAGCAAGCCTGGTGCAGAGCTAAACTACTTTGCCACCACAGTTAACATCTACTCCAGTCAGCCAAAGAGACTAAAACTTTTTGAAGTTTCCCCCCACCATCCCTAGTTCTGCACGCAAATGAGAGTTTCAATGCAAAGATTGAAATCAGTGCTGGATAAATGCTAGAAATCTCTGCCCTCCTCATGCCTAATTGGCAATCCCTACATTTGAAAAGAAGAAAAACCATTCAAGTTTTCTTTCATATTTTCTACTTAAATCATTATTCAGTGTACTCCATTCCGCATTTATCTTACTCAAAGATACAGTATTGTTGGCCTACACTTTGACCGTTACTACTAAAAAAAAAAGTGCTCCAGTACATAAAGACCTGATTTCTAGAACTATCATTAAAACAAAGGCAGCATGAGAAGATAACATAGTAGCCACTGATACCTAAAGCAATCAATTTTGGTCTACCTCTTTTCCTTTAGAAAGACTGCCTTAAAGTTTATTCCCTTTCCCAAAAAGATTAACATTAAAAAAGATTTTCATGCTTCTAAAACCACTTTCACATTCATAAACACCTTCCCAGGCAACACAAGCAAACATCTTTTCTCAAGTTGAAGAAACTTATTTTCAGCCAGAGCTGATGAACCCTCTAGATTTCTGTTTAATCAAATACTACTATTCCGAAGCAAGCCACAGCAGTTTTAAGACCTACGATTTAAGTTTCTGTCATCTAAACTCAGGCCACAATTCTTTCCTCAAACAAGCCTAAGATATACTCTGTGAAATAAGACACAAGGTAAAATGAAATTATTTGTTAAAATAACCTTATTTTAAATTCTTATTTAAAAGTACTACATATTCACTCATAAAAAGAATGAGTTCAGAAGCATCAGTTTCCACTCTTCATAATACTCACTCTAATAGCTTTTAGCCATTCATAGCACTTCCTCCTAAATATAACATCTGAGAAGTTTCCTGGTTCAGAACAGTTTCTTTCCATTTAAAAAGGACAGGGAAAAGAAAAAGGAAAAAAAAAAAAGAAAAGCAATTTTAAGACATGTTCAAATATTCAGTTACCTACTTAACCATTGTAAGAACAAGACTAAGACAATAATTTCTTAGTGATGCCTCCTGGAGGAGCCAGAAAATGAGGGGATATAGCCTAGACCAAGAAGAGCTAAAAGTTTGTTAAAAGATAAGGTTTTCTTGCCATAATAAGTTAATTACAGACTATTTCAGAGGCAGATTTGTTTGCAGCTCTTTTTAAGTCAGGAGAAGAGAAGAGTTAAGAAAAAGAAAAACACCAAACAGGACAGAATGCTGATTATTTTCATATTGCTGGTCTTTCTCCAGCCATTTCTTTAATGTGGATGTTAAAGTAGCTCAGTTATATGAGGAAAACTGTTAAGGAAAATGAGGTCCTTGTCTAGTTGAAAATCCTGGCAGCAATCGATAACTGGGAAGTGTTACATGCTGGAAACGAATGGTAAAGGTAGATTACTTTGCAGCTATTAAAACTTTTACCAAACTCGCCAAGTTACAGATACTATGACTAACAACTTTAATTAAGGCAACTTTTCTGATAAATTACAGAGATGTGATCAAGAGGAAACAAATTCTCTGACTGCTTGCTCTTTTTCCACAACATTCCCCAAAAGGACAGTTCTTTTCTCTCCTCAGCAACTATATAAGCCATATGCTTGACTACATGCCCAGCAGTAACCTCGCAAGACAAATACTTACCTGAAAGTTTCTGCTGCACGGGAATTATCCAGCTTAGTAAACAAGAAGTGGACAATGATAGCATATACAGTGTTGCATCCTCTGTGAAGCCTCTTCCTAACACACAAATAAACAACTCTATCAGAAGTCGTTAGCATGCCAAATTAACAGTATCTTTACTAGCCGCTTAGTTTAAAAAATACTTCTTCGTATTTCAATGTAATGAGTGATACATCGAATGCTTAATTTTCTGCATAGTTAAAAATATACATCCTCCACCCTATTTAAGAAAGTCGAAACAATTTCAGTGTGAGCGTTTACTCTCAAAGTTTTCAAACCAAGAGGTACGAAGACAATCAGCTCACTTTCTCCGTACGACCGTGAAGGATGTATCAATCAGAGAGAAAGAATTATTACTCATTTCTGCAGACAGAGGTAACAACGATCACGACAACTCAAGTATTTCCTATGTGTTACCTACAGCCAAGTGCACCAGGCCCCTCGGCGGCCATAGCGAGACATCCCCCCCTACCCCAGCCCCCCTTCTGGAGGTGTGCATTCCCGGAGGAAACCCAGGGCCCTCACCACCCCCTCCTTCCCCGGCTCTCCCCCGCACTTACTTTTTCCGTACCAAGCTACTGTAGGCAGCCTTCGGCTTGAAGCCCAGGGCCAGCACATAGAACCAGAAATGGTCCTTTTCCCACTTTCTGACCATAGCGCCAAGTACTTCACGGAACACCCATCGACCAAATCTAACCGC